CTATCATAAACCTTGCATTATTTCCACAGTGAGGTGTAGCTGGCTAAGGATAGCATCATGCCAGCTGGGCACATCAGGCTGTCTATAAATAAAGACCCTGCTAAAGCCTGAGCTTCCCAGCCCTGCAGGAACGCTGGCCTGGCGCAGGAGACTCCGCTCCTGCCATGGCTACAGGTCTACCTGTAGAGGAAACCCTGCAAAAATAAGGAGCCATTTGCTAAGTGCAGGATGCCCTCCTCTGACTTTCCTCCCTTCCTGTATTATATTCCATGTACTAAACACTATGAAGCAATTAAGAATCCGAACAGACATGCAGAAAGTGGCCAATTCTCCATTCCATCAATCAGTCTAGCACAGCTCTATATTAATCTGATGAAGCAGTGAGTAACAAGTCCAATTTGGTAGGATTTTTTAATAATATAGCCACAGTACTAAAGCCAGAATAACAAGCGCAAAAGAAAGCCCTGACCTTACAGCCGGCATTTAGTTTGCATTGCTGTGGCCGTGAGGAATGACACCTTCAGTTAAAATTTCACATTAAACATCTTGACTCTCCACGCCTCCCTGGCCCTCTTCCATGGGAGACTTGCTGGTGCAGAAAAGCAGAAGCCTTGCAGCACAAAAATACAAAAAAAAGAAAGAAACACAAACAAACAAAAAAACACCACGCTGGGGGAGAGGCAGGGAGAAAGCTGTGGGAAAAGTGCCAGGTCAGTTCCTATTATGCAAGTACGTGTTCTTGCAGGTTTAGCAGGAGAAAAGAATAACTGCATGTCTCTCTTGTTTAGGTTTGTATTTTGAAGGAAATAAGTTCTGCATTCACTCAAGCAGAATAGGAGGCATTATCTATACTGAGCATATATATATGTATGTATATATTTGAAAGTTAAACAGCAGGAAAAAAAAATCAAATTGCAAAGAAGAATGGCACCCAGGAATTCTTTCATAATATCCCAAGAACAGATACTAGATATAACACCTAAAAAAAATTCCTCTCACTGTTGTTCTGACAGTAATTTGAAATGTATTCCAGATCTGCAAAAACCCTGGAATATTTGACATACTTAGGCATGACTTCATAACTGGTTGCTTTACTCGCTAAGATGCTTTGTAAAACCTTTTTTGAAATGATTAGCAACCTTCTTTCCTGGACCAGTCAACCAAAAAACTACCAGCTGCCACAGGTATGTTTGTGTTCTGACATGGAAAAAAGAAATAGCTTTCAAGCTCACTCAACAGCTTCTTCTCACTTCCTTAAGTATGGACATCACTGCACAAGACAGGGTATGATTGCAATCTCAATCTCGGGACTTCCCTCAGCTACCTTAGATGTTAATTCCCAGAGTTCATAAAGTAAAATTTGAAAAACCTGTCTGTGAAGTGGTGTCTCCTGAAGGACCACAACTGCAGAAAGGGCCTGCCAGAAACATTCCCTGTTACAGCCTCCATGGAGCTGTTTAAGAACCACCAAAACCAGCTACATACAGCAAGCCACAAAGCAATGAAAAATTAAAAGCTGACACACAAAAAAGGGGCAAATATATAATTAGATAAGACTCTCTTATTTCCAAGAAAAGTCTGCTACTACCTGCCTGAATAGTTAAGGTACTAGCTTCTTTATCTTGTTTCAAAGACTAGTTCCACTACGTGGAGGCAAC